TGTGGAGGTTTTCTCGTTCATATAACAGTTAAGTATGGGAGCAACTCGCAGTTAGAAGAAGCAATGTCTGGGCTACACCACACCACACCAAGGGGAGAGCCATCCAGCTCTATTGCATGAGGTACGGCTCGAATTTTTTTGGACGAAATGCACTGCACTATCATGATGATAAGGGAATTTTTTTCCCTCTGATCAGCGGACTCGTAGCTGCTTTGCGTACGCATTGACCGAGGAAGCAGCTTCTTCATCCAGCAGTTTCCCGACCCACAGCTCCCTCAAGCTGAGTTTGCAGGTAACCCAAACCTCACTTCGTCATCAAAACTGTAGGCTCCCTAGGCTCCCGCTTTGAAGCATTAGCGTCGTGGAAGGTTGTCCGATAATTGAGGGCATCGTCCTTATTCAGCTCCATTATTTTGGCATCTGCAGCTATCATGCTGGCGTCAGGGTGGTGGAAGAAAGAGTTTGAGGAAGCGTCTGGAGGGGTCGGTGCCGATGGTAGCGGATAAAATCCTTGTCATATTGCAGAGAAGAAGCAGGAGTCAAGCGAGTGGTACTAATAGAAAGACCACTCCTTGATGTATAAGTGCTTACATTACCGGTTACCCTCTTGGTAATGGGCAAGTAATTTGAGTTCGAAAAAGTGTGACAGAACTTTCCCGCCAACCTAATACATATGGGGACCCTTACCCCAATTCATAATCTTATGCTCCCCGGACCCCTTTACCCTCTTTTTTCCAGTCCGTCGAACCCGATTCACCTGGTTCATATGATCCTTTTCTGTCCAAGTGCTCTGGCAATGTGGAAATACTCGTCGCGGCTTCACAGCGAGCGACGAGGGCCAATGAGCCCATCAGGGCAATTCGTACGTTGGGAATCCCCAGCGAGGGGGAGGGGGAGGGGGAATATTTCGTCGCTGGAGGAAAAATGAGGGTACCCGAGAAAAATACTAGGGAAACCAGAGAACTTGGAGCCGAGTCGCATCTTGCAAAACTTTCCCCCAACGGCAGGCGTGCCCTGAAGCCGGCAGCACGCCACGCGTAGGAGTTCCTTTTCTCTGTGGATGCCGGGGCTGGGGAGCCCGATTTTCAGCAGTTCACCGCTCGATCATCGCTCTGGCGTCGGTAGCGAACAAGTTTATAAATATTTGGAAATGAAGTGAATGTCCCACTCAGTCCTCCACAAAGGAGTGTGTACCCCGAGCGAATAAACTCAATATTGAACTGATCAGATTTCCATTTACTCCCGCCTCGCCGAACATAATGTCCCGGTCTAGCCCACAGAGAAATACAGTAGCAGCCAAAAATAGCGGATAGCTCACTCACTTCGGAGGTGCTGGTTCGAGTCCCGGCTGGGGTCAAGCATATTGTCAATAGCTCGTCAACGCTGTCATTTCTCTCCCTAACAAAAAAAAATGTGGCAAGAGAAGAAAGAAAAGAGCAAGCTTAATGTGCTGACATTTAGCTTGCTCTTTTTCTCGTAACTATGAAACAGTGTTATATTATGAAGTAGTTTTCAGTCAAATTGAGGTACGGTTAATGTTTGGAGCATTTCTGGAAACAGTCCTCTTCCTTCCTCTGATTAAAATCCCTTATTCCAGAAGCATGCGCAGATCTTCACGACGATCATGGATGAACTGATAGCAAACCTCGACAGTCCGACAGCAACAAGCCCCTCCCTACGAGAATCAGGAGAAAAGCATGTCTTCCCGACTAGGGATCAATGTGAGTTCCATGGCTCTGGTGGATGAATTGGCTTAACTTATTCACCTCTGTTGAGTCGATAAACCTTTCAAGCGTTCCCCTGGAGAAAATTAATCTACCCCAGCACTGGTTGCATAATTCGGCTATGTACCTTTGAAAGCTCTGGTTACCTTCAAATGTATCCTGCATGAGCATGTTGTGCTTCTGCTTCAAAAGTGAATGTATTGAGTGTACAGTCGTTATCACTGAGTCAGTTGGGGCCTGTCAGGAGGGAGTGGACTCAGGCAACGATCAATGGAAAGCAGGCTGGCGCAGCGCTAAAACCCACGCTACGACTGGCTTCAGTGATGAGGACTGTATTGTTTTTCGCGGCTCATTCTCCTATGGTGCCATGAGTGAATTTAGCCTAGGATCTTTTTGGAGGCTTCAAATGTCCCCATCACGTTACTCTTGCTAGATGGTCGCTTGGCGACTTGACCAAGGGGGAGGGAGATTCCTGGGATTGTCCGGCATGCTGTCTTCTTCTCCATCATGAAGCTGCGGACGGCGTGGGTGGAGAATATGTTGGCACCGCGCCAAACCAACCCTCCCGCACCGAAAAGACTGTATGCTATGAAAGCCGAGCAACACCTGACCACCTGACACAGCAGTATTACATAGCTGAGTAAAAATATGTGACAAAATTAACTGTCTCATAATCACGTCATGAATCCTACGGCTTCAAACCTTCCTGAGAGCCTCTCGGGTATGTTAGCCACCTTACTTTTGAAATATACTAGATTTGTTATTTTTCAATTTTAACAGCATCGGAAATCATGGTTTCACGATTCACTTCGTATATCAATTTTTGCAGATGGCTGCCCTTTCCGGGCCACCTTGCTTGATCAGTTTGCGTCAGCGATGATTGAACGGACATTGGAATGGGGTGAGAAGAAGGACAGAACTGAGGTATGTAAGAGCCGTTACTCCTGCTTACAAGTGCATCTGTTATTGCAAAAACAGGTAGCATAAAGAGAGTCAACTATGCGAGCTCAAAATATGCTGGGAACGAATGTAGTGCGTACACGAACGGGACTTAATCTGTCGTTTAGGGATGGCGGACAATGGAATAAGAAGAAATGAGAAGTGACGCGGTGAACTAGCCAGGCCATCTACTTAGGGACTTGGGGCTACTGTCTAATGTACGACAAATCAATTAGGTCCCCATGCATTCAGGGTACAGCATCGTGATTGTGAGATGGCTGTGTCAGTTCGATCCTCCTTCCCCATTCCATCTAACATCTTTCTAGGGTTTTTCTAGCATCCTAGCACTTTTTTCCTATTTCCAAAAAATTTTTACTTTCTCCCACAGCTATCGCTACTAGTCTCTACCGAAACGGGACAGACGTTGTAGCCAACATTTCTGCACGGCTTGAGATTTTTCCTATTTCCAAAAAATTTTTACTTTCTCCCCCAAAGCTATCAGCTACTAGTCTCACCAACGGGAATAGACGTTGTAAGCCAACATTTCTCGCGGCTTGAAAAACTTTTCGCAAGGCAAGTACGACATCCCTCCCAAGCGAGCAAGCAGAACCCCCCCCGCACCCACCTGTTGTGATTCTCCCAATAACACTGTACACTGTTCCGGGTGCAATGTACTGACACTTGCAACGCAACGTAGAATCAACGTGAATCTCTTGAGTGGCACGATAGAGAGAGTGTGGACAACTTCAAGCACTTTTCAGGTTACGCAAACAGGATGGACGAAAATCGTTCTTTTCGTTGTGGAACAGATTAAAGAAGGTTTCCACGATGAAGTGAAACGGCAACGTCGAGTCCGTCCACGAAATCTTGGAGTAAGTACAGTTTCTTTGGAGGTTAGCTGTTTCATACCAGTCTCCTATGGTCATTATTATATTCCTGCCTTCCTTCCTTATCGTGTTTCTCTAAAGAAGCTGCGAGATTTTGAATAACATAAAAGAGCCAGAGTGCCGTTCGTTTAAACTCGAAGTGTAATAACCTGTGTGTCCTGTGCGCGGTCGCGTCGCGGTACCGCACTCGGCTAGGTTATGAGCAGAGCTCGGGAAAACAAGTTTCTTCTTGATTTTCCAGGATCGGCTGAAGGCGTAGGAAAAGTAGAAGAAAGATCCATACAGATAAATACAATAAGTAAACTTTTGTTTCAGCATCGTTCCGACTACTCTTCACTGTCCGAAACATCCAGTCACTCCTTACCACGGAACGTGCCAGAAATTAAACGATTCAACACTGTCGACAATCTGTAAAGTCCATGAAACTGCTGATGACTTCTCAGTTGCCTGTACACGCATGGGTACAAGATGGAATGGATGAGAATCGCTAAAAAATGTAGGAATTGTGTGCCCAAAGTGGGCGTGGCTCAGCGATACCTAAGAAAGCTCCGCCCAGAGTAGGAGGGCCTTTCACGTTTCATTGGTTCGCTGCTTTATCTGTTCGGTCAATAGTAACATGTCTTCTGAACATCATCCATGCTTCCTTTCTCTCTTTTTCAAGAACTAGGGGTAAAAAGTTGACATAGAACCTGTGTCATCCCCGTAGTTGTTGCACTGGAATCTTTTAATCCCAAACAATCCAACGGGTACACTGAGGTGTTCAAATTATCTAGCTTTGTAAAATGACTGTATTATTGCTGGTGATACCATTTACTGGCCCCTCGGGACGACATTCATCGATGATGACCCTCCCCAGTTCGACTATGCAGTCCCAGAAATCGCAATCTCGCATTGGTTCCCGTTCATTTTGGAGGATTTTATAAAGCATTCGCTGGATTCCGAATCGATCACATTATTTCACTTTGATTTTCTATATACATACGTTTTATTCGGGAATAAATATCATCACAATCGTTGTCTGCGTTGAGTTTCCAAATTGATTGTACATAAAATTGAACAATAATTCCTAGTGACTCAACCAGGTACACATAAAAACTGCTGCATGGCGTTGCGATTGGTTTTCGCGCACTTGTGGCGCGCCCTCATCTGTGATTGTCAGGTCTCTCGCCGACGTGTCCAGTGTTTCGTCACCTCTCGCTCTTCCGCTTTCTCAAAAACCGCCCAGAAATCAGCAGTGGGACTAGCAATGTGCCTATAGAGATTATCGCTAAAGTTTGTGGGTCGTCACTCGTTCTGTATTGGCATAGACCATCGTTCGCTAGGCCAGCCGTAGTGTCTAGAGCGCAGCGGAATCTCAAGGACCAGCCTGCAAGCGCTAAAACGCAGAAGGCAGCCAGCTATCAAAGGCAAAATCTACGCACACTCAGTGGATCCTGACTCTTCCATGTGCGAGGTGAATGGGTCCGCAGCTGCAGTAGTGTGCCACTTTCTCCTCACAGAAGTGCACGTTAACAGGGTTAGAAGGTAGTCATACCCGGGCGCCGCCCCCGAATTCGCGCTGCTAGCACACGACTGACCATGACCGAGCGCACCTCTTGTCTGCGCCCTAATTTCTAGTGTCTCCGTATGACTGCTTGTGTGTTATCTGCAGGATTTTAAAGTTAGGCAGGTTCAGACTTGGCGACGGCAGCGCTTCGAAGTCTGAACAGTGCCTTAGCGACACATGGCTATCACTGCCCTTCATCCTCATATCCGCGCGCTCTCAAGTAGAACTTCTGGTAAGGGACCTCGCACTAAAGCCAGGGTGCAGAAAAAAGGGGCTGCGACTGCCACCGCATGGAAAACTGGAAAAGTCGAAGTGGTCGCGGGTCAAGGAGAGCGGGTTCTTGGGTAGATAAGCCACATATCATGCGTGAAAAGTTGGAATTTATAAAATCTCAGTGGTCATAATCACGAGGCAGTAAAGAACAGACAAAGAGCAAAAGTTGAGCGACTGAAAGGGCTGAGTCATGTTGTCCATTGGCAACAGGACTATGCACAGAAGACCGTGGTGTCACGTATCTCGGTTCCATTCTTAACCATTGCCGCAACTGCCATGAAGGCCTGACTCGTCGATGCCTGTCATATCGAGTGCTAGATGCTTTTGAAGTGTGGTAAGTCCTAGACATTGGCAAACAATAATTAATAATGGCAGGTAAGGGGAGACAGAGACAGGTATTAAAGCAAAAACGTAAGCTAGGCCAAGTGTTCAGAATGACACATACAGGGTACTAAAAAAAGATACTTTTTTCCTTAACTTTCAAGGCGATATAAGTTACACTTCATTGAATTCTGATTGGACATTTCCACCATCAAATTCAACAACACATTGTACACGATCACGAAACTCCGCCACAGCCTTCTGGACGAGCGCCATCGAGAGATTCTGCCACGCTACCGTGATTCGGTATCCTGAGTTCAGGTCGTTGATTCGTCTGCCACTGTTGAGCTCCTCCCGCACCCGGTAATTGAGGGGGTTTAGGTCAGGTGACACACTTGGATATTCCGTCTTCTTCAGGTACTCAACGTCCCTTCCATTCCAAGTAGGCGGGAGTTGTTCGATTCCATGTGTTGGCACCCAGTCTTGAGCAGTACGAAGTTTCCAAGATGGTACAGGCGACGACATGGAGGTAGGATATTCTCCTCGAGCTGCTCCATATTTCAGTCGGCGTTCACTTTCAATCCGGGGTCCACGGTTCCGATCCATACCATCA